TTTTAACTATGACTCAGTAGCACAACGTGCTTTTGTCATGTCTACACACAGTTATAACCAGCACCAATTTAGCTAGTTTGGTTCTCCAAAGTCCTTTTATGACAAAGCACTGTGAATAAGGTCAAGAATCTCAATGGAAATCCTAAGCACAGGTCATTAAAAAAAAAAAAAAATCCAACCACATGCCTTTCAAACAGGAAACACTTATTTGGGTTGTCACCATTTAAAAACAACTTCACCATTAAACATATTTACAAATAGAACACTTGGCTCACAAACTACCTATTTACAGCATTCACATCAGCCCTGAAAGCATCACCAAGGGAGACCACAAATAATCCATTAAGAGAACAGGGATCGGTGTGTGGTGGTCTCAGTCCTGCCAGACAAGAGGAAAGCCTCAAGCAGAAGCAGATGCATTTGCAGATCACCACCTTCCAGCAGTAAAGCATTAGTGTTTTTATGAACACAGGATCCTCAAAGGAATGAGGACTGCTAGGGCAAAACAGGATCTACCTAACAAAGGAGGTCAGAGTATTTTTGCCAACAGACTCGCTAACCTAGTAAAAAGAGCTTTAAACTAGGTTCACCAGGGAACAGAAACCAAAGCCTTTAGGTAAGTGGTGGAACAGAGAATGGGGAAGCACAGATCCATCAGGGCTCCAGGGGAGGTTTCCTCACTCCCTTTGAGAGAAAGTAGGGCGGATCTGAAACCCTGTGCACAAAAGTCTACAGCCTGTGATGCAGACAGGAAGAACTGCCAGCCTGTGCACGACTGCAGAGCTGTGACACCACTGGAATTAGAGACACAAGGGGATAGCTCACACAACTCGCCTGCTGGGAGCGATGGATGCAGGCTCCTCACAAACAAGAAGCAGGAAAGATGGGCAGGGCTGAGCTCTACACAAACATGCAGCTCTGCTGTGGGACGCTTGAACTTGTTGAGAGTTTACAGGTCAAAACCAGAAGGGCAGCCCAAAATGTGGATGCCATCATGGCATCTGCTACAAACCACCCAAAAAGGTGAAGCAGATTAAGTCATCCTCAGCACTGGAAGAAGCCTCTGTTCACAGGCCACTGTTCAGGGAGCAAACTCTTCAATTCCTGTTGGGAGGGAAACATGGCAGGAGACAAAAAAAAATCCGGAGTGAGCAGTAATAATTTTTACTGCAAGTGCTGTACAGGCCCACTACAAGTTTCTCACTAGACCAGCTATGCATGAGTAAGAACTTGCCAAGGACAGCAGCTGCAGAGCAGCTTTGGCAGTGACTGTGAGATGCTGGAGGTTAAGTTATGGAGGGCTGTGACAAAAGCAAGTAGCCAAACCAGATTTCCAGATAGCAAACCTCAGCCTGTTAAAGGAAATTGTAGGTGGTATCCCTGGGCATGCCGCCCTAAGGTCAATGGAACCTTGAAGAGCTGGTTGAGCATCAAGGGCAACCTCCTCAAAATATAAAAACAGTTCTTCCTGACAAGCAATATAAAAAGCAAGCACAGCAGGAGGCCACCTGGAATGATCTAGGAACTCCTGAGTGAACTAATGTGCGAAATCTGAAGCATGTAAGAGACAGAAGCAAGAACAGATTATTAAAGAAAAATAAAGAAGCACTGACTGTATACTAAGGAGCAGAATTAGGAAGGCCAAGGCTCGGATGGGTTTGAAAGTGGACAGCTATACAGAGAACAGCAAGAGCAGCTTGTATTGGGTGATAAAAGTCACCAAAAGTTTCCTGAATTTTGAATTATGATTCCCTCATTTTTGGTTCATTACATCAAAGCCCAGTGTTGTTCACTTGCTAGACAAACAACAAAACTTTTGAAGTAGTATGGGAAACAGATACAGAAAAAGAAGATCAGTAAATTCTTAGAGATAAGTAACAAGGGCAAATGCACAGCAATGTTTCCTACTCAAGTATTAGGAGACATCCATCTTTTCCTATGACTTATTTTGATACGATCATAGAATCATGGAGGTTGGAAGAGACCTTTAAGATTGAGTCCAAATGAAGACGCTAATGACTGCTGCATTAAAATAACGGTTCTTACTTCAACTCTCTCTTCCTCAGTTTATTTTCCTTACACGTGGAGAAGCATGAAATAAGCTTTTTCTTGGCCCGGGCACAGTCTTCATTTACAACTTAGGAAAACTACAGAACACAAAACCCTGTGTGTCTGGGCCTATTCAATAAAGATTTTGACAAAATAAGAATCAATTCCCTTCTCACTTCCAAGTGAAGACATTTCTTTTTTCCTTGTGAAAAGCACAGTGAAACCACTTTTCGTTTCCATTCAAAAAAATAATAATAATCAAGGTCACCAACAGAATGCTTAAGTACTTCAAGCTGTCTCATTCCAGTAATACAGTCACAAGCTTTCCATCACATGGTGGTCTGGGTAATCAGGTCACTACTCCACAGAGCAAGAGAATTCAAACAACTCCAAAGTCTCTGTCTAATCTTCCAAAACTTGCAGGATGTAGGCACAGCAAGTGAGAAATGGAGGAGTTTGCTTTGCTTTTTTTGTTATATGCACCTGAACACTCCCTATCCTAAGCCAGGATAAAAGTTCTATCTATCCTGGCAGCAGGTCTGAATATAAGCACATGGCAAGTAAACAGGAACAGTCGTCTACTTTACCTTCCCACAGATCTGAAGTGCATGTGTTTCTTGCACCAGTCACTCAATATTTGTGTTCAAACACAGTCATTATTTCCTGGTCTTATTCAATTGCCTCTTGAAAACAAACTCTCAGCATCTATATAAGATCTTCTATAACTACACAGCGGACCTCGTCATCACGTGTAGAGAAAAAATATTTGCTTTGGATCTACTAACACAAGTGATCTCTTGTTTTGTAATAAACAGTAAGCTATAGCCCTATCTTGCTTACTTCCTTTGTGCTACCCATGGCTTTCAAAACCTTCCACCATGTCCCTCCCTTCAGGTACCTCTTCAAAACACCAAAGTATCCTAATCCGTTTAGCATCTCCTTCTAGAGAAGTATTCTTTACTTCAGATTATCCTTCTATGGAAATTAGAGAAAGATGAGCTCTGTTATGCCTTTGATACTACTGTAATCTTTGGCAACCACTTGACTTGTTCAATTATTTCTAAACATTTAGCTGAAGTGCTCATGAATCTGTATATAAAGACTTTGCCTTCCCCACCAAGCCAATGTATCTCTTCACATTTACTTATGTGTACTTTCTCAGTCAGACACTCAGTGCCACAAAGTCTTTCAAGTCTCTCCCTGTTTTATTACTTTTGGGAATATAACCTCTCTCATCAGTATTTCTACCTTCTTTCCCACAGAGGATAGCACAGATCTACATACTATTCCCAAAATTACCATTTACTCACACCCTTCTTTTTTTATATTTAAACCAAGCACTCATCTATGGCAGAACTCCCTATTTACTCCACTACAGGTGTATTTCTTGAAGAGCCTCTGGTGTGGGAGTCTGTTAGCCTTTAAGTACAAAGCACATCCAGACCAACTCCAGCATTATTTGTGTGCAAAACAACTCCTTATAGAACTTTACTAGCGACACACTGCATAACCTGTCTTTACAAAAGCTATGTTAACTTTACCCTCATTACATGTATCCATGCATTTACTGATTATTCTATTTCTTAGAATAGAACTTATTAAATCATAGAACTTATTTAATCATACCAACTTTAACTACAAACAACAGCAGAAGAGTTAGTTTGTCTGATCATTGGTATACATTTGTTCTGAACGCTAAACACCTCTTTCCCCTCAAATCTCTAATACCTCTACTGTGTCAGTATCCTAAAACCAGATATAAGAGAAACTAGAGTCTAATTTATTTAATATAAATAAATACACACACACTTTTTTTTTTATAAAAAATTCTAGCATTTTCTATCTACGCACACATGGGTTTGCTTCTTATTTTTCTAAATCCTGTTCTAAATGGGACAACTTTTCTTTTTTTTTTTAAATTTATTTATTTGCAGACTAATTTGCACCATTTCTTATGAGAGCTACTGATCCTTGGATAATATACAACTGGAAGGACATCAATTTTAAAGGTTGCAGGAACTTCAATAACCTCCTGCTAGTTTTGGCTTTTCCCCAGTCATCAGTTCATTACAACAAGTTTTGGCTTTTCCCCAGTCATCAGTTCATTACAACAGCTCTGATACAAGCTACCTTTTCCAAAGGGGCTCCCCCTCTAGTCTGAACATCACCCCCACCACCTTCCTAATAAATCTAAATCCATTTTCCAATACGTTCAATTTTCTAAGTCTTAACATTGTTTTTCTCTCCTCCTCTTCCCCTCTCTGCTCCCAGATATGGTGCAAGGAGTGTTTCAGGGCAAGATGTAAAGAGCTAGCAAGCAGAGGGTCACCTCACAGTACTTGTTGGTAAAAATAACCTTAAGTTACAGTCCACTACTGAAAACAATGGACTCAAAGGAACTAAAGATTATTTGACATCTACAACAAAACATTTTTTTTAAAGAAGCTGTTTCTTAGGTAGAACTTACAAAGCCTGTTTCTGAGAGGTCTGCATCCTCCTCTACATTACTGCTGTTACAAGCCCATTAAGACTCTTCCATACAACCCTGGTTTTGGTTTCCTCTCACATTCCTTAACTGGTATCCCTTCCCTTTCTCATTCCTTGAGTAATGCCGTGGGAACAAGCCAATTCTATGCCTGTTTCCAGGCCGTGTCTGCTAACAGACTGTGAGGTGGAAGGAGTAAGGGGAAGAAGCCGCAGACAGTTTTGCCTTGTATAAAGCACACATTTTCAAGAAACTGAAAGGATCTTCATATTTCAAAATGCATTTGCTTCTGCAAAAGGAATGGACAAACATTCAGAGCAACCGCATGAGCTTGTTTCCCGAGGAACCAAGGCACAGATATATCTCTTGGCATCAGCCAAGATCTTGTCTCATAACTCTTTTATTCTGGCTTCTAGTCTTTAAGGTTCAGTAAGTTTCATAAATTTTTAGAAAAATAAAGACTCACCGTTTTATTACGAAGTCTAATTATGTCTGAAACAGAGCCAGCTCCACAATATTCCATAACAATCCATAGATCTGTGTTCTTAAAATAGCTGCCATAGTACTTGACAACATAGGGGCTAGATGGGGGAAAAAAAATTATATATATAGATGAATTCTTAGTAGGGGGGGAAATCATCATCACAAGTGTTAAAAATTACAGTTTGACACACTAACACAGCTAAATAACAACTGCAATCAAATACATTTTAAAATTGTAGTTAGCAGTTAGAATAAAATCTGACTGCTTAATAAAATTACGAAGACACTACTATACATATATCACAAGCTTTCAATGAACTTCAAATACAGACATAGTTTTCCCAAACATTAATTCTTCTGTTACTAAGCTTTGTTTTTCCCTCTTCTAAGATGTCTCTTAATTTTTAACTCTTCTCACAAAGTTATTGGATGTTTTTCCCTTTTTAAAAAGATTGCCTTGTTCTCTTCAATCCTGAGTAAAAAAAAACATGGAAACTCACCCACCTTTTCCTGATTTTGCATGAACTTATTTCAGGTACTGAACTTCCATATTAAACAGAGTCTAGTGTTGGTTTGAACAAGACTTCCGCATTCACAAATGCATTTCCGTATTGAATGCCTCATGTAAAGAGATAGCACTGTCCTAAACAGAACATACTGCTTTGCTACGCATCAGTTTGTCACTTGGCATAATGCTTCTTAAGAGGCACTTACAAAAGAAAGGCAGAAACACATATGGTAAACATAACAAGGATCACCCTTCAGAAAAATGATCAGATGGTATTTAGGGAAATAAAAGGTTGGAGGGTTGGTTTTTTTTGCAGAAACTTAATTAAGCAAAGGAGGTTACAGTTAGATTGCCATCAACCTTTCACAAAGTCAAGAAGTAAGATATCGAGATCTCAGACAGTGGTAAGAACATTTTGTTTTGAAGCAAGCAACTGTATTTTAGCATGTTTGGCGGCAATATTTTTTGTTAGTAAACTGATATAAGAGAAAGAGTGGGCCTATGCTTGCCTCCTGCAACATGGTGCTGTATTTATAAAAAACAGGTCAAAACTATCAGGAAACTACTTCATTAAAGATCAACTGTTAATACTATAGGAACTTGCTTTTATAGAAGGCAAGATGGGTCGATTCCCTCCTACTCTAATTAAAATGTCTACCGTTTGCAAGTACGACACACTGAACTTGACTCTTATAAATTCCTCAAGTGAGGAAGGTTACTATTACTTCCAGAAAAAAATCCACTGATTTTTGTGACCATCTCTTCCCAGATTCACACTGTACTAGTATTCCCAGCAAAAACTGTGTATTACTGCAAATCAGGACAAGGTGATCTTTTTAAAACATTAAGTGTTGCGCAATTCCAAAACACTGTTCACATTTGCTTAAAGCCTTCTCCCAGTTAACTCTTCCATATAACTCCTTGTCTTAGAAGCTACATTTTTTTCCCCTTAGAAGAGCTTCAGTACATACAGTGTAGATAGTTCTAGAAAGACGTATGAAGAAGAAAGGGTTAAAGTGTTAACATTCAATCACTTTTATTTGAGACGCTGCAACAGCTCAGTGCTTTTCTGTAGGATTTGTGGAATGATCACGTATGAAAATAAAGTAGCAAAAAGTGTGCCACCCATCCCATCAGCACAACACAGCACTGATTTGCACAAAGGCACACAACACATCAGAGCTGCAGCCCAACCCTTCTTTTCAACCAGAGAATAGATGCATTTTGTCTAGCAGAGGAAGAGTCTGTGTTCTAAAATTCTGAACTCTTACTCTTAAAAAAAAGAGTTACCCAATAGTACATGTCCAGTAGACACTAAATGCAACATGTTGTTTAAAGAAAAGCAGGAAAGAGAAGGCAAAAGGCGGGGAGGACAGGGGACTTTGGAATAAGATGGCAAGTAGGCCCACCTAGGACAATGAAAATGTCACAAGCAGCATAGAACAGAAGGAAAGATGAAAAATTTAGAAGATTTTCAAGTATCACCACTTCTTTTCTCTGTCAGTGTATTTCACAGACATTTGTCTAGTACAAACAGACATACACACACACACACACACACACACACACACACACACAAAACAACCCACACCATTGCTTCCAGTCAGCTCACATGGCTCAAGCCTGTGCAGCGACTAAGGGCTGCTATCCTATCATTGACCCATGGAAGAACTCTTTCTGAGAATTCTTAAGGTGCTGTTTTCTAATCTACTTCCTTTATGTGAGGGGAAAGAAACGAAGCAGGGAGGATAAAAAGAATTAAGAGCACAGCAACAAGAAGACTCGAAGTAAACATATTTTAACTCCTCTTCCAGTGCACAGGAAGAGCTGAGGACCTACCCTGGGGATGAAATCTAGTTTCACAGTTAAGCAGACAAACTAGACTGCTGCTTGCTCTTAATCTGTACCTGTTAGAAAACTTCAATTGGCCAGATGGACAAAGAAAGTATCACAGGAACAAAAACGATTAAGAGGAGCCCCCCCAAAAACTCAAGCATGCCAAACCCTTTTGGTATCACCCAAAATAACCTTATCACACATCTTTGGCAGAGTTTGAAGAAAAACATAAATCCTTTCTTTTCCTCCCATCCTCTTGTCCACACATTTAACAAGCTTCTAGCATTCAGAGCAGTCAATGCCAAAAGGGATTACAAGGTCCAGTGTGTTCCTAGGTCACAAATACTCAGACCAGGGCTTGGAGGCAGGGCTTTGAAAGAGGTCTGAAGAACAGTTGCATTCTCATGTGCTAAATACAACGTACTCTGAGGTCTCTCTCCTTACATTTAAGGACAAATATTTGAGCCTTCTCTCCTCCTTCATGACCCCATAGACAAGATGCTGTGGAACAGGACAATCAAGCTCCGTGTAACATCTAAGCAAAACACTCAGCAACAAATCTGAAAGAATTCAGACTGCATTAAAAGGACTATCTTTAGAACTGGGATGAGTATTGCTCATTGCCAAACAAGCGCAAATTTTTCATTTAAAAGACAGAACTTCAACACTGGCATACCACAAAAGCACAAACACAACTGAGAAATAACAGACCACTTGCTATAATACAATTCACCAAGTTAATGACTAAAGCAATCAAACATTATAAAGACAGTTTCATGTAACTAGAGTGAAAAGCTTTCCTGTTTGCACTTTGAATCACTAACAATAAACTCTTGTACCACTGATCAGACATGAATGAAGACTCACCCTAGCAAATGTGACTTTGAAGCTACAATCAAAACTAAAATATTATCCCCCAAAAATATACAAATAAAGAATTGTTAACTCCATAGAGGAGAAGAAATGCAAAGTAATTTCTGCATCCCTGCGGACACATACGTCATGGCTTCCATTCCTACAATACTAGCAAACATAAGATCGATCATCTGTGAACAAGTGTAAGGTAACAGTCCTTCTTCAGAACAACTAGCAGACTGTTCACTTTTTTAAAGTTATGTTCCTGTGTGAAAAAGGAAACCAACAGAATACTATTTTTGAAGATGACTGCTAGCCGTTAATCTTGTGCTAGAAACATCTTTATCAATATTCTGTTTGCAGCTGCATGTATAGAATGATAGAATGGTTTCGGTTGGAAGGGACCTTAAAGATCATCCAGTCTAATCCCCTGCCATGGGCAGGGACACCTCCCACCAAACCAGGTTGCTCAAAGCCCTCTCCAACCTGGCCTTAAACACTTCCAGGGAGGAGGCATCCACAACTTCCCTGGGCAACCTGTGCCAGTGTCTCACCACTCTCACAGTAAAGAATTTCTTCCTAATATCTAGTCTAAATCTACCCTCTTCCCAGTTTAAAACCATTCCCCCTTGTTCTATCGCTACCTGCTCTTGTAGAAAGTCCCTCCTCAGCTTTCCTATAGGACTCCTTCAGGAACTGGTAGGCTGCAATAAGGTGCGCCCACAGCCTTCTCTTCTCCAGGCTGAACATCCCCAACTCTCTCAGCCCATCCTCGTAGGAGAGGCGCTCCAGCCCTCTGATCATCTTCGTGGCCCTCCTCTGAACCCACTCCAACAGCTTGAAGTCCTTCTTATACTGGGGGTCCAGAAACTAGACACAGTACTCCAGGTGGGATCTCACGAGAGCAGAGGGGCAGAATCACCTCCCTCGCCCTGCTTGCCACACTTCTTCTGATGCAGCCCAGGATGCGGTTGGTCTTCTGGGCTGCAAGAGCACATTGCTGGCTCATGTTGAGTTTTTAATCAACAGACACCCCCAGCTATAGCATTTTAGCTATATCCACAAGTACAAATACATTTTCACATAGACTCTTTGAAAGGGAGCAGAATTGTGATACCTACCTATCACATTGTTGCATTATAGAGATTTCTTTAATTATTTCTTGAAGATCTGACTCCACAGGGACCTGTTTAATTGCTACAACTTGTCCAGACTCTTTGTGTATTGCTTTAAACACGCTACCATAGGACCTAAAAATAAAAGAGGGAATATTTTTTTAAACAAGATAAACTGCTTCTCATTTCCATTATGCAGACACTTCAAAAAGTCACAGAAGCAACATGTTCATGCATCAGTTTGAGGGTTTTTTCAGGCTGCAAAAAAATGCAGTAGTATCAGGACCTCAGGAAACACATGCCTCTGAAGAATGAATCTTTGTCAAGATGTAGTGGATCTAACTCCAGTACAGATGCAAACACCTTTGCTGCCTTAATAAACAAGGGATATAAAAAATACATAAATATCTTTGGGGAAGCATGCAAGTCTACTGATTTGTGTGTTTGCCTTATTATTAAAACTTGTCTAGAGAAACTTTCCTTAGGACATTTACAGTCACTTTCTCTGTAACTTAATATTCCAACACATGCTTTATATACTGTTTCCCTCTGATCCCATCCCCTCATAAATAGCTGCACTTACCCTTCACCAAGTTTCTCCAGAACATCAAAGACTTCTTCAGGCTGCTTAGTTAAACTATCTTCACTTAACTTTTTCAGTTTGCTAAAAGAAAGACAAAAGTTATTTGGCTTTTGTGGAGGAAAAAGACACAGGAATCAAGCAAATTTTCATGTAAGTGAGCAGACAGAAAAAAAGATTATAAAGAAAAACATATTCCAATGAAAATAAAATGGTTAATTAAAGTGCAGTAATAAAAATATAATCAACCTACATACAAGATGGAGAAAGTTATGGCATTTTTTATCATTACCACTTTCCCACTAATGTTGCCTCAGTTCAAAGCAGCATGGAACCAATCCACTGCCCAAACCACTTCCTGCGCTGAAGCAGAAACAGCCAAAGAGTACAGTAAAGCTCACCTCTCATCAAAAGCAGTCAGCATGCAAATGCATGCTCATTACTGCCTAGAGTATGCCATGCCATGCTGTTACCTAAGGAAGTATAAACCACTACTTTATCCACATGAAGTGTCCACTTTCTAAACTATACAACTCATAACTCAGTGAACTGCATCAAGTTAAAAGCAGAACTCAGAGTCAAGATGACTCCAGGAGCATATGGTAGCACCTCACCTTCACAGGTGGAAGCAAAACACTGACATTCCAGGAGTTGAGTTGTTGGGGCAGTCCCTTTTGCATCTTTGTGCATGTACACAGGGACAGGTACAACAAAATCTCTCATTGCACACCACCACCACCATATTTTGTCCTCCAGTTCTCTCTCACACAATCTCCAGTCACTCAGTATCACTGTACGATTTCTCCCAGCACCTTCAACCCACTCTTCCCACTATCCTCTGTCCTTTACAAGCAGCCCAAGCCTTTCCTCGCTCTCCAGCATTCCCATCTCTCCAGTCCCCAGACTCCTGGCAGATCTCAGAACACAACTTGGCCACAAGCTCACAAGGAAGCTGACACTGAACATAACACAGGAAAAGATAACCACACACACATTGCAGCGAGGCCAGGTGGCTGCAACATGTAAATCCTTCACCAGAAAAGTTATAGGGAATTTTGCTGCAATACTGAAATAACAAGTTAACTCTACATGATAGCCAAGGGCACTATTAAAGCAGAAGATGAGCTGAAGAATAGCTGGTGCTCTAGTGTTAGATATAGACAATATATTTCATATGCAGGAGGAGAAAAAAGGAAAAAAAAAACACAAAAAAACAACTTTGAAGCACAGAGGATCGTCGAGAAAGTATGGAAAATCTGCTATCCAGTGACACTTTCCTGGAAATGAATACTAAATCAGGGAAGGGAGGAGGGTACAGACAGAAAAGACTGTTAAATCTAACATCAGAAGAATTCTCAGTGTTCAAAAGGAACACCTTCATATTAACAGATGTGGTTCTGTGATATACAGAACTAATAAAAATTCAAGTGAAATGACTGATGAAGGAATTCCCGAGTCAGAAGAGACTTGTTACTGCCAACCACTCAAGTAAAGACAGAAGTTTAAATTGTATAAGCACACAGGTCATATGGATTGGTGTTAAACAAGGAAAGCAAGGGGGGGTGTACACATTTATATATCAAGTAACTATTTCACAGATGTAGCAATTATATGAATACAAAAAGCATCCACAATCAGTAAGGAAAAGTGCACGAACTGCTGTAAAGACCATGCAGCTTGCTACAGTGAACAGACAAGACTCTGGAAAGCATGTGTGTTTAAGAGAGAATAAAATTCTCCATAGAAAAGGAAAGGTGCAAATCATGAACAGGAAGAAAAACAGAAAAAAAAAAAAAATCAAATGAGAGCAGCTAATTAAAGTCTACAGAAACGGCCCAGAAATCAAACACAGGAATACATAACTCTGCTTTCTTTTTCACCCTCTCTCTAATTGTTAGAGACTAGAAAGCAGAAAGATGGAACTGAAATCTTGCAGGAAAGCGTATATTTCATTACTGAACACATGTGAGTTGAGACAAATAAAAAGTACAGGGAATAAAAATTTGCAGGTAGGTATTAAAGAAACAAATCATTCATTTTGCTGCTGCTTTTCAAATTTTCTTTTCACTCCTGATCAGGTTATTTGCAGCAATAAAGGCAGCATTTGCAGAGTAAGTTACTGCAATCACTCTGCTTGCCACCAACAAAAAGCATGCATGGGATGCTTCTGATACCAGCAGAGCCTCAAAAAAATAAAAAGCGTGACCATTAGCCAAGTCTCTCACTTGACTGAAGAGCTGCATAACAGAAGATGTAGTCAACAGAATAGTGGAGGGACTGAACTTTTTAGTAACTGCAAGACAAGGGAAAACACAGTGACCTCAACTAAAGATGGCAAGAAGAGAACACTTCCACCTGCTCATCAAAAGAACAACAATTGCTAAAATGAGAAGGGGGGAGGAGAAATCCATACCAAAAGGGTTCCAGCAGCACCATTAATGCCAAGGCATTGGGAGTGCTGGAGAAGAGCTAGGGAAACAGTCATAAACTGATCAAAACCAATGTCACTGTCAAATAACAAATTCTCTGGAGTACTTAAGAGGCAAAGCTGAGACAAAAGAAACAAGCATTCTCAAGTTTCAAAACTACTGTCATATTATTCAACTCTGACAAACGCGTTATGAGACCAAGTAATATTTAATACTACGGCAGCCAAATACTAAACCCATTTAGAGGAAGAAAGATTAATCAACCTCAGAAATTTCATCAACAAATACACTGCTCAAAGTACTTCACACTCCTCTACAACTAGACCCTAAGAGTACAGATGCTTGGTACCACATTCGAGTGACAGCATTAACAGCACAGTTCTTTGAACCATAAAGATCCTAATGACTCTGACCGTTTAACAATTTCTATTTCTAGAAGGCTAATAGGATTCCCAGCTCTTTAACTACAGAACAGCATACGATATGCAATAAAAAAAGCGTTCATGAAAACTTCATGAGAAGCAAGGAGGAAGACAACTGTTATAACTGGCTGTAAAGCACCAAGTAGAATACGAGAAAAAAAGACTAGAAATATTATCTTACTATACTGTTTAAAAAGAAGCAACTAAAACTCGGGACAGAGAAACACATCCAAGACTTCAGAATCAGCTTCTTAACCAGGAGTTGTTTGTGTGCATGTGTGTCCTACTATCGGCACTTTGAAAATGTGCAAGACATATAGAGCCAAACATTTCAGAAAGATCACACCTTTTTAAAAGCATTGAAGTGTTCTATACGGGAAGTGAATATTATGAGCACCCAGCAAAATGCCTATCTGCTAAGGCATGACCAGCCATGGGATGGGAGGAGGCACAACTGAAGAGACAAAGAGCTCAAGAATAATCAAAAAGCGTCTCATTCCTTTCCCTCATGGGTCCTCTACTCTCATAACACAAGTGTTTAAAACGTAACAAATAAAAGAGTAAATTCAGGCACTGTTTTATTCTGGCCACAGGATATAAGTGCCATATATATTTATATATATAAGAAAGTTTAAAGGAGATGTGTAGAAGACAAATATAAGACCTGGGGAGAAAGTCATTCTGCTCTTGTTTGCTCTAGAAAATCGTCAGGTAGTGACTATGGGCTACTTCAGTAGCTTTCCAGGAGAGTTCTTCCTGAAAGCAGCAGGACTAACTAAACTGCAACTCTGGGACAACAGGAATTGTCAAAAAGATTTTCCCCATTCCAAGCAGCTCATATCTTAAACAAGAAATATACATCCTAGCAAAGGATTTTACTTCCATAAATCCAGCTGATGTGAGAAAACATTCATACTTAGCATAACCAGAATCTTATGCATCATTGAGCGCCAGCAAAACTCCACATAACAAAATGCAGAAAAATCAAGAACCAATGAGAAGCATCCAAGACTACCAATCCTAGCATGAAAGTCAGAAAAATCTTAATTAGGACCTGAAAGAGCAAGAGATGTGCTTTTTTTCCCCCCAAACATGAAAAAATGAAGTATGAGTTTAGCATCCTATGCTCATTAGGTGCAGATTTCACAAAATAAACTGATGTGCTACAAAGGTAGGCATTAAAAAAACCCTGAAAGCTAACAATGAAAAATAAAGCAGGACTAAAGAATAGAACTCCATCAATTACTGTCATGAGTTACGGAAAACTGGAGAGCTGCTCCATGAAACATGAATATATGCAATTTATTTTGCAGAAGAACTAGCACATTGAAACATTTTAAAAGAATGGCTGGAATCAATTATACTGATCTATTAAGAGAAGCTAGTAAGAGAAATGACTGCAGTCATCAGAAATAGAGGTGACATGTGAAAGCCTTGAGATATTTATACTGTTTTACACCATTCACACAAGTAGAAGCAAGTTTAAGACAGTTTACACTGTTGTATTGTGTACCTATAAAACCCAAGCAAATGTACAGTTTTGTCCCATTATTTTCAGGAGGAACGTGACGATTGTCATCCATATGACCTTACATGCCCTTTGACAGAATTAAAACCAGCATATTCTTCACAGAGAGCTCATATTTTAAAAGTTTTTTCCTTCCCACAAAACTGAAATTTCAGTGAAAATTAAACTGCTTTAGTTTAAAGAAAGGACTGGAAAACATTAATTAACAAGCTCCATGCTTTTTAAAAGGCTTTTTATTTGGCAGCAATGTTCAGGAGATGGGCAAGACTTAAACGTACTTGACAGAAACGCATCTCTAGCTACTTTCCTTTTCACCATTATGCAATCTACCTCCTCATATCCAACTATGTCAATACATACAGAAAAATGCAACAATAACAGGTGAAATCCAACAGGATAAAATAACCAGACCTGGAGGCAAATTCTGTAACTATTTCAAGAATGAATGTCCTTTTTAGTAAGGGAGGGAAGTATAAAGCATATCTCAAATACAGTTAGAAATTCTGATGCAAGAAAACACTGTGTCAACTACTGTACAAATTGATCGGTATAAAATCAGAACACCTAGTCTAAATTATTTTTTTAAAAATAAAAAATTACTCTGAAAAGGACTGCTCCTTGTAATGCTTTTGTTACTGTTGCGGTACATTGGTCAAACAAGAAAAGCTAGTGATTTTGACAGCATCCTCATTTAAAAGCCACAGT